AAATCGTAGTCCTTCCCCAGTCGAGCAGATCCATTCGTACTACAACATTTTCTACTACGTACTACAACAAATTCGTCCACAAGGGACGCCCTAGATGGACGGACGGAAGTTTAACGACCAAATTGACGATATATTGAAAATGGGCTAAATTAAGGGTACCCCTTTTACGACGAACATGTATGTCTGGATGGATATATGGACGTGAAAGAAGTAAGAGAGATATATCAGGATCGTGCTCAAATGAATACCGTAGTCACTGCATTTCCCTCTGGGCGACAGGCGTGAGAGTTTATGTATGTATGTTTTCACCGAACGAACACAAATTCATGTTCCATTGGGTAAAAGTTGAGAGGTAAGAGCTTTCTTTAGTATATCCAAATAAACTACATAATGGGTAATGACGTTTAAGAATAAAGTACAGAGCAATGCATTTGAAATTGTACCGTCATGCAGTATAATGGAGACGCATAACAATGGACGGGTTTGGAAAGTGACGACACGAGTAACAAGCGAAACGAATTACTATCGAAGGTACAATACAAAGTCTACAAAAAAAAAACTCGGTCAGATGGACGCTTCACTTGAGATGGAGTGATAAGTTCTCCTGCTTTAAAAGCAATATTCTCTATATTTTAGTAGTCACATTTCAGTAGTTTACAGAAATATACTAACCAGTGACAGAAGCCAAAATATATTGGTATACACTATACATTACAACCACAAAATAGTTTTTTTATAAGATAGGGGGGGACAAAAAAGCACACAGTCCACCTGATGGTAAGTGGTTACTGTGGCCTATAGACATCTACGTCTATCCTCGATTAAGAATCAAACTGCAGATGCGTTGTCACCCGCGAGGACTAAGACGGAATGCCTCGTTTCCAGTAAAAAGGGTCTCCGGTTCTCTACACTCACCATACGAAACACAGCAGCGTTAAGCTGCTGTTTTACGTTGGTATTCTGTGAGAGCGTGGTACTTCCCCGGTCGAGCCGACCCATTCGTGCATGGCTTTACCATGTAAAAATAATACTATTATTACTAGGTTTTACCTACTTACTTTTACTAGGTGGTAAGAACCTTTTCCTATCTAGGAGTCCGTCTGGGCAGATTACCAGTTATATACCTAAAGTCATAGAACTTATAAATTCACCTATTGGCCGGCCATATACCTAAATTTCTAACGTCCTACGAAATAACACAAGAGCGATTCTTGCTTCACATGATTAATAATAAATAACCCCTGGGAATAAGGTTGCTACCATGCTGGTTTTTAACGTTTTCATAACAATTGTATAAAATATTATATTGTAAATTATGATTTTAAATAAAAAGTCCAGCTGGGCTTCTTGCTGGTTCTTCCCAGGACAGAGGGTTTTTTTTTAGAACCAGTGGTAAAAGTAAAAAATGACTTTCAATAAGTATTACATATAATCTCTGAATATATAATATATAATCTATAAATCTGACTGCCTCGTTGGTCTAGTGGTTGTAGTAATGCGACTACTGATTATGAGGTCCTGGTTTCGAATCCCGGGTCGGGCCAAAAAATCAATTATTGAGTTTTTTTGTCAAGAATTTCTCAGTAGCTGCCCGGAGTCAGGAAGTTAGAGGTGTCTCACCCCCGTGCCTCGGAAAGCACGTAAAGCCGTTGGTCCTGCACCTGATCTCTCTCCGGTCGTGTCGGTTTACCGTCCCATCGGGTTATGAGAGTGAGGGAATAGAGAGTGCACCTGTGCTTGCACATACGCTTGGGCACTATAATCCTGTCCTGCGCTGATGGCTAGCCTCCGTTGAGGCAGGCCGCTGTGGCCGAAATTCAGTCTGGTAGACATTATTATTACATATAATCTTTATTGAATAAACTTTATTCTATTCTATTCTGTGTTCTGGCCAGAAGCATTCCATCTTAGTCCTCAGAGGTGATAACGTATGTGTAGCCATCTTTATTTAAAGTTGGCTGAAGGTGTCCGTGGACTTCAGTGCCCCACTTACAATCGAGTGAACCAGAAGGTCGTGTGTCACTTTAATTTTATTAAAAAAATGGGTACAACACTATGACATCACTTTATAATACAGCAAATGAAAGTACGTAATGCGTTAAATAATTAAAAATCGACTAATTATTTTTTTAATTTAATGAAGGCTATTTTACTTAATTTTTTTATTATATATATTAATTAACTGATTGCAAAGTGCGTCTTTACTTTCATTAGGCTAAGACATAGCAATTTACTACTCAAGTGTTACATTACCACCTACCAACAGGTGAAATTGTAATAAGACACAGGCTTTTTTAATAAGTAAAAGAAGACCCTCAACTGTAGCGACATTCTTCAATTAGGTTTAACTAGAAATCATCGTATAGTATTGCAGTAAAATAATCTACTCACCCATCATGAAACAGGAGATCGGCAGTGGCATCTGTATGTTAACAACTCAGAGTAATTAAAAAAAAACTGTGTTGCCAACCCGCCTGCCCAGCGTGGCAACAATGGCAAATACGTGAGTTAAGAGAATTTGCCATAGTTGTCTATGAGACAATCTATAAGGGAGGCCTTTTTTAGCCGTGGACTATTGGTGGATAGGCTTTATTGAAACGAATGATTAAATGAAAAATTGTTATCTGAACATCATCATTACATTCGTTAAGATTCCGTTCATCTACGTGCATTACCTATTTATATTGAATAAATTACTAAATATATTGAATCCTATTTATATATTATACCACCCTAACTACCACGACTGCTATAGCAGCTGTGGTAGTTCAGATGGTTAGCGCTCGCTGTAAATACCACAGTACGCGAGCAACCCGGGTTCAATGCTCGCCGGCACCAATGAAATTGTTAATTGCAATTTTAAGTGCCGATTTACCACGTCCTCGGCGGTGAAGGAAAACATCGTGAGGAGCCCCCATATCTGAGAAAAAAGAAAAAAAATATATTTCAAAGACATGTAAAGTTCGCAAACCCGCATTGGGGCAGCGCGGCGGACACTTCCTAGCCCTAAAACCCTCTCAGAAATTAAACGAGGTCTGTACCCAGCAATGGGACGTATATAGGCAGTAGCTATATGCTTTAACTTTAACTTATATTTATATTTTCATTATACCATACTCTGATTCATAACCTCAATAAGTAACCGGAATTAAAATTTAGAATTGAAAAAAAAATTAAAATATGCTTTAATCGCATATTGATATAAATTATTTAACTCGTTTAAATGCCAGGTTAACGTGGTTATAACTAATGAGGAAAAAAGGCATAGTATCAATGTAGACAAGAGAAACCCATGTTAATCCGATGGCGTTGTGGTCCGAAACTTACACAAAGGGGTTAGAATAGAAAATAATATAATATAATAAAATAAAATATCATTAGTTAATTTGTTAAATTGAGTTAATCAATATATATATTTAACTAGTGATATATTAACTAATATAATAATCAATAAATTTTAGTGCTATAAATAGGAACTATGAAATGTTAACGGTCAAAGACGCAAATGTCAAGGCGGCCAAGTGAACGTAACTTCACATTTGTGATCATGTATCTTGCTCTTAAATTTAGGTAAAACAAGACATTATATTAATGCATACGGATCTTGCAAATTAAAAAAAAATGTTTAGCATCATTACTTGATAAAATGAATTTCTACAAAACAGCAATCATCACTGTTACATAAAAAATAACGAGGTCTATTTAATATAACTTAATAATACTGAAAAGGTGAAAGACGTCATTGAAAACTGCTGATATATAATACCGCATTCAAATGGATAACAAATTTACAACTACGCTTACACCTTGGCTGGGAAGAGGAGACCTTGTTTCCCGCGATAATACGAGTAAACTGACAAAAATATTGTTACTCGTCATGCTTTACAGTGAAAGTAAACGAACGTGCGCACAATAAAAAGCAAATTGACGACCAAACACGACCAACCCATGGAAGAATAGAACAATTTTCATTCAATACAGATTACAAATAGGTTATTAAAATTTATTTCGTAATTACCACCGATTTGAAAAAATTACTTCAAAATAAAATAGCAGCATAAGGGTCGATCCTCATAATAATGCCGTTCTTTGTCTGATAAAATATTATCAAGTAAAAATATGTGTACATACTATCCGTAACAGTCAAGTTTCGCTCGAATCCCATTTCATTATAATAAATGAGAGCGAGATCGGACCGAGATCGAAATGTGAACGGCAAATGAAGATCGGCCCTAATGTAGCTGTATTTCGTATGGTGAGTGTAGAGAACCGGAGACCTTTTTTACTGGAATCGAGGCATTCCATCTTAGTCCTCACGGGTGACAAGTGACAACGCATTTAAATTGCGATCCTTAAATGAGGATAAATGTGGATGTCTATGGGCCACAGCATACACTTATCATCAGGTGGACTGTGTGCTGGTTTGTCACACAATGCTATAAAAAAATAGTAGCGAATAATATAAAAAAGCGTTAATAATATATTAAGAAATCAAATATTTCTTAATATATTATTAACGCTTTTTCACAGGTTAAACTTTGTGATAGATAGACCCCGCATATTAATTGGGACTTTGTTGTTCCATGAAAGAATTACTGACGCTTTGAAGTGGAGTAACTAGTATTACCTACTAGCTTGTGCTTATTCTTATGAGGTAGGTACTTGTTAAAAGAATCATCATTATATTTAATGTAACAGTTTTTTTAAGACGAATATAATATCATCTACTCCACTATATGAACTGATAGAACGCGAAACGAATCGGTTATCGTTCGTTTAAATAATTATAATTATGCATTGCCGGAATATTAATAAGCTACAAACGCTTCAAACAATCATTTAAATGTTATAACATTAACTAATTGCTGTAATGTTACCTACACACATACACACTGAAATCTTTTCGATTTAAATATATAAAATAAATCAGTAAAATATAGTAAAAAAACATAAATTAACATTTCACGCCAGAAACATTTAACTGTGAAAATAGTGGAACCTTAAGCCGGGTCAGAAAGTAACAGGGCTCGAATTCGAACCTTAAGTTTATGATTATTGCCTTCACACTTTTCGTTAGCTAAATCGTCTAAACAATCATACATAATATCTGAGAATAGCATGCTTATTTATAAAAACGAAAAATACGTTTTCGCTAAATTAATAATATTATATTATAATTTTCGTATTATTTAAACGGCACAAGGTTTAAAAGAATTAAAAAAAAAAGCAGTTCACACGCGGTAGCAGTGAAACCTTCAGAAAAGGGGCCGAGATAATAGAAAACACGTATTCATACAATCGTATCAATACTGTAATAATGTCATTCTCTCGGCGGCTAAATCCCGTAATGTAGTTTGCCTCTTTTTAGTCGCGTTTTTTCGTTCCATCGAATTTCAAATCAAAATGATTGTAAAGAAGTTATCACTTCAAAAATATAATTCAACACAAGTAAACTACTTACACACCAACACTGAAATTATTGTATTTGTTGTAGACATGAAACAGATATTCGGATACTATCCGGTATCCGACCTATACGGCTTAAATTACTACGTAACCGGATACCGGATAACAAACAGCTACGCGGCCGGATACCTGATTAAAAAAAACCACTTTTTTTTAATACCTGCGTGAAATAATAATAGCTTAATGCTGCTGTATTTCTATGTGAGTAAAACGGAACCTTTTAACTGGAAACGACCTCCCAGAGACCCACCTTCCACAACTCCTTTGTCACCCTATCCTATAAAAAAAACACAAAATATCAAATTTAGTTAAGTACTTCATTTATGTCACTTAACAAATATAATCAGTAATCACAACATTTTCATTTTAAAACTTACTAAATTAGTACTCTTACTGCGCTAAGCCACAGAAATAATAGGACTACGTAGCTAAGGGCAAATTACGGTGAATAATGAATAAATACTAATTTCTCTACGTTGAAAGGTAACCAGCGGTTTCGTCTTCATATACAAGGCCAGCTTCAGAAAAAAGTCTTTCGCTGTACACACTGCTGCAGGGTACTGAAAGATAGATTTTGGCAAACTTTAATATATTTGGGTATTGTGTCGCAATACCTGCCCACCAAATATAAAGGTCACGATCGCGAACAGTTTGCACTGACTTTACTTTTCGCTTCTTGCGATGCAGTGCACCAAATGTTCGACCGGATATCCGGCTATCCGGCGATTAGACTGGTCGAATATCCGGTATCCGGCCAAAGAGCTATCCGTTACATCTCTAATTTGTTGAGCAAAAAAAGTAGTTTTCCAATATTATACGAAAAAAAACATTTACAAACCGTTTTTAATTTCGGGAAAGTTGTCGTAGATTTACGATTTACAAGAGAATTACGAAAGAGCTAAAATTTTAGCCTCAGTTTATTCATTGCGCCTTAGCGTCGACCCCTTCCAAGTTGAATTTTACGTGACAGTGGAGAGAAAATGTAGGCACGGTGAAGAGAAATCGATGATTATTGCCGCTACGAGGTTAACAATAATCGAAATGCACTTACAAGACGACACAAATCGGACATTAGTCAGAGTCACCGGTGAAATTCCGTTTCAATTGTGCCATATAACAATCGAAAATAAAAGAAGTTTCTCTTGAGTTTTTAGCAACAACGAATGTACTTTTTGCTTAGACCAACTGACCGAAAGTAAGAATACCTATTTCACAAAAAAGAGGCAAATGTACTTTGTAAATCAACGTAAATGAGAATAAGAATAATAAATAGAAATCAAAACAAAGCATTGGCCGTAAGAGGTGATTTAGTAAAATATCTCGAAGAAATTTTTACTAAGAATGTGTACTTCTGTTGCCGCTATAACAACATATAATAGAAATTAAAAATTAAAGGGCCCCTAAAAACGTGTTTTTTTTTTAACTTTTTTTGCTCGATCTTAATAATCGCTACAAGTAGACGTTTAAAAAATAAAATGCTCACGGAGTTGGTATTTGCTGAATTCGCTAAAAAAATTATTACAGTAGATGTATATTAAATCTTGTACGATCGTACGGAACCCTTCATGCGCGAGTCCGATTCGCACTTGGCCGGTTTTTTAGAGAAGCATTTACATTTGATGGTTATGTCAATAATCTAACGCTTTTTGCTTTTTCTTAGTTATTTTTTTAAAGATATTCCGTAGTCTGGTTTAGCTATTTCTAATGTAATAAATATATAGAAATAAATAAAATTGAACTACCTGTTTGTTATGTGAAAATAACAGCTATTTACTAAATACGTATGAAAGTATATGCAGTAGTTATAACAAAAATATATTTATTTTTATTTTTGCCCCTGTCTGTCTGTTTGTTCCGGCTAATCTATGAAATGGCTGGACCGATTTTAACGGGATTTTCACTGGCGGATAGCAGATGTTATAAGGAGTAACTTAGACTACTTTTATTTTAGAAAAGACCAATGTTTAGCGCTAAAATATAAAAACCCATGAAATCCAATTGGTATAAAATCCACACAGATGAAGTCGCGGAGAACAGCTAGTACAAAATTTAACTATTATTGCAGAAAGCAAAATAAATATGTACACTTATCTAACAATTGTTACCTCCAAAATATTTCATCTAATGCTAAAGTGGCAGTGCCGATAAGGATACCCTTGGTGGCATGATATATATATATATATATATATATATATATATATATATATATATATATATATATATATATATATATATAAAAACAATAACAAATTAAACTATTTTACCCCAGTATTCTGTGCAAGAATGTCCTTTACAAGTCAATCCAACCTATTAATAATGCAGAGTGGCTCGTCCATGAAAGATCTTTTGGGTCTATGATTGATGCAGATATAATCATTACCGTATTAACGTACCAGATGTAAAATATTTAGAATGGCGATGGGAAGAAGGGTCAAAAGTGTACTGTAATTATAGTAAATCCTCTCTACCATGAAGGCAGTCTATTTTCATCAGTTAAAACAGATGATAATCCTATTTTGAAAAGAGAGTTTTAAGTCTTCTCTGCACTTAAATATTACACATTAAGTCAAACTTGCGTCTAATATTACAAGTCACATTGTACTGTATACATGGTAGAGCCATACTGCAGCTATATTATGGTTGTAGAATGAATGAGTCCCCTCGACTTGGGTAGGACCACTCACACACAGAATACCAAAGGTATTATATATATATATATAGGAGGAAGATACTCAGGGCCTTACAGGCCACAAGCCCTGAGTCAGATGAAGCTCTAAGAGTTGCATAGACTAACAGCGAAAACATCTCGAAAATAGACGAATACCAGAGTAAAATAGCAGCCTAATGCTACTGTTTTTTGTATGGTGAGTGTAGAGGACCAGAGATCCTCTTTACTGAAAACGAGGCATTCCATCTTAGTCCTCAGGGGTGAAATTGCATCTGCATTTTGATTCTTAAATGAGGATAAATGTAGATGTCTATGAACCACAGCAAGCATTTACCATCAGGTGGACTGTGTGCTTCTTAGTCACCCTTATTATATAAAAAAAACATAGAGCCAGCCCGTATTTCACTGCAATAGTTATGCATATAATATAAGTGTTCAATATTAAATTAAGGTGAATTGGGCGCCAAAAGCAGATATGATGCTTTTTATGTGGGTTTGGTTGGCTATTTAATTGCTCAATATTTATTTGATATTCCTTTTTTTTAAATTATATATACTCTTTTATTGAAAAATTCACTATTCACTTACATATTTACTGATGAACACATAGCCTGAATTTAATTGAAATTGATTTCATTACATTTGAATGATACAGCTTTTTCACTTAATGGACGTACCTAAAATTGTAGATTTTGAGGAAACTGCAATCTTTTTCTATCGAGCCAAAATGTGTCAATCATGTTTTGGCCAACATAATTCACTAAGAAAAATCTTTAACTTTCATAATGGATTTAAAAAAAATGTGAATTAGTTGTTTTTTATAAACAAAAAAATTTCTTTTCTAGCATATATAGGCGCACCTATAAAGTGTGAAAAATCTGCTTTTGGCGCCCACATTACCTTAAAATATAACCACTAAAAAACCTGCTTGTTAGACTTTAAAATATGGCATTTAATAGTATCATCATCATAACAATGAGATAGCTTGTTGGTGTATTTAGAGTTCATGACCTAAGATTTCAAATGGCTTTATCAAGGCATGTGATTTAATTGACTGATAACGATAATATTATAGACAGCTTCATATTATGTTTATAATTTTATAGGTAAATAAGATTTCTTGTTACTGCTAAAATAAACTTATTTAGGTAAGATTTTTCAAGTATATTTTTTCTTGTAAGAACCACTTCTACATTTACAATCAAAGACATTTATGTATGTAGTAGTAATAGACCGGCCATCAGCAACAAAATTGTCTCTAACTTTTGTCCTATAGGATATATCTCCGATTTTTATCATTTAGTCTTGACATACAAAGGTATAAAAAAAAAAAAAACCCAAAAAAAAAAAAAATTTAGGCTTATAATCCTAAGAATAATGTATATTTACCAAATAATCTTTAAATTCTATTATTTCTGGTAGATTGTTCTAGAAGAAAGAAAAATTATTGTAATAAGTGCCCTCTGTTATCCAGTAACATCACTATTTATTTACAAATATGTTAGTAATTGAGGACATGCCTAAAACGGATGTTTACCTTATATTTAGAAACGTCACCTAATGGGAAATAGATAAAATGTTTTCCAAATAAATATTCAGCGTAGTGTTGCTATTTTTCGCTAGAGGGCATAACACATGCGCATGCTCACAGTTTTTGTATGTAAAGGTTCCCAATGTCCGCTCTATAGTATATATATATATATTTTAATCTCTGTTTACAATAAAGATTCACATATTTTGAGCTTCTTCACAGTTTTTATTTTTGACGGAAAAGAATGAGACACTAAAAAAAATTGTACAATATCCTTTTATACAAGAGCCAATACTATGAATCATATATAATTTTATGAACTCACTATAAAATATCAATAAAATTAAATACGTACCTGTTATACCAAAAAACAAGTTTAAGTGTGAAATTGTCCTGCCATTTTTATCAGGTATTTTTTACAATTACAACAGAAAAGTTAAATCTAACTAGTTTTAAAATTAATTTAATTTTTATTAGTTATATTATTATTCACTACTAAATTGCTGGATGCCACTAGATGGAGTGACAACCGGGTAAGACATGCAATGAGTTGATGGATGCAGGTGGCTCAAGACCTTGCTTTGTAGCATTCCTAGGGGGAGGCCTATGTTCAGCAGTGGTCCTGTGAAGGGCTATAATGATGATGATGATTGTAATGATAATGTAATTTCTGTGGTGAAAATTGAACATAATCTTGGCAATAATTTTCTAAGCAGCTATAAGTGTGAATTTACAACATGTAACTTGTCAATTGCAGTTTGTATGGAAAATAAGTCTACAATAATTGATATATTTGTAAATGATAGTTTGATAAATTATAACAAAAACACTTACCAGTTCTAGGAGAGATGGGGACGGCAGGTTTAGGTGCAGAATTTGAGCACAACCTTCCTATCTTTGTTGGTGGTTTCAACCCTGATGGTTTAGACAGTGTTGTTGGTCTATTGTGTGCAGCTGCCTGTGGTACAGTTGATGCTGTAGTGCTGACTGACCCATTTTCAGATGAAGTTGATGACAGAGGCTGAGGCAGCATTGTGTCCATTGGTAATGCTTCTTGTTCACTCATTTTCACATATGTTAACACTTTTTCTTCTTATGTCTATGTAAAACTCATTTTTGTCACATAAAAAAACCTCTGGATGCTAACAAAATAAAAACAATATGCGACATAAACGTATCGTATCACAAATAAACTTGCGACTAATAAACTAAAAATATCGCAAGTTCCCGCGCAATAACAGGACACGCAATCTGGATCACGGCCATAACGCAACACGTTAAACGTAAATAAAATCCATGTTTTTGCAAATGCTGATCTATAGCAACTTTAAAAAATAATTTACAAGTATGACTGAATTTATTAATTCGAAATACTACTATCACGGATTATACAACAATCAGCAAATAATAATTTATTTATTAGTATTAGATTATAATAACAGCATACCTTGAGAGAGCAATCAGAGCACAAAATAGTGCTGTCCGTGACTTAGAATAACACGATAAATTTTTACCGCTCGCCGTTTTAGATGAACTTGACGTTATCATTACACGTAAACTATACGTACAATAAACCAACAAATTGATACTTTATAAACTTCAAGCTTATTTCTACAAGTACTATGAAAACAAATTATTGAACTCCTACAATAAAACTTGAAACACTGGTTTTTGCCAGCAATCCTTCAAGCACACACAAACCACAAACACAAACTTGCACAAACTGATAAAAAAATTAAAATGCAATATTATTGCACCACAGAACAGAATGTTTAAATTTTTTAGATCACAGCCTGACTCTCGGAATAGTGCTGCCAGACTAGGTTTATAGAATTACCGCAGATAACATGGTAAAAGTACAAAATATTTAAATCTATATTCTATCACTTTCACTCATTGAAATGTCTGCCTACGCATTATTTTTATATCCTATATTCGAAAAAAAGGAGGAATAAAATAATTAAAACTGTGTTATTGAGGCTTCTTTATATGGCAAAACTAGCTCAAATTATGTTCAATTAATGGTTACTTAAATACACAAAATTTGAGCCAGTTTCTGTATAAAAAATAACTATGTTGAAATAAAAAAAATCGTAAATAAAAAATGATTTTTCACTAACTAAATTGTTAAATTATTGCTGATTATCGTACAAGCAAATTCACATAAATAAATTACCGTATAAATATGATAATGACGTATTTACTGGCAACTTTGACGGAGGCAAAAACAACGGTTCTACGGCACGTTTAAAGATCAGTGTGCGGCACGGTGTTCGTTCAGAAACCGCATTTTTAACTATTGTTTTACTCCCAAAACAGTATGTAACTATATAAGCCATTTTTTGACCTTTTACAAAACTGCCATTATAACTTTTAATCTCAAAATTTACCACATGATAAATTCAAAAACTATTTTCTTTTTTCTTCAAACAAAATATAACACACTGAAGAATTAATTTGAATAGAAATGATAGTCCTTAATATAATTTCTATTCAAATTAATTCTTCATTGTGTTATATATAATATATATTGAGTCGAAGGTATGAAATTCCGTATGTCAAAAATTGCGTCCGATGATTATCATCAGAGGTCGGAATTAGGTAGATTTATTTATGTACTTGCATCGAAATGTTGATTTATAGGAATCTTCCCGGGATTTCTAATAGACAATTCCGTGTGGCCAACAAAATTACAAATAAATAAAAATAAAAACCTCAGATATAGATAAGATAAATAACAAACAATATTTATTAATATTTACATTAACTCACAATACAAATTATTAATAGTCTTAAGCAAATTCTCATACGAGGGCTGCACTAAAAGTATCGGGAATGGAATATTTACACAGTTCCTGTCATATTATCTTTTTAATTGAAAACTCCTTGGTTTTAAAAATCGAATATCATTTATTTATTTAAAAAAAGATTCTCGGTCTTGTCACAAGGTTTTGTCAAACTTGTTTAGACGTTGAAAAAATGGAATTGACTCGAAAAAATTCAAGAGTGATTATTTATTATGACTTTCGAAGTGGTTTAACACAAAAACAGTCTGTTGACTAGATGACCATTTGGTGATGAAGCCCCATCCAAAACCACAATTTATTGCTGGTTTGCTGAATTTCAACGTGGACGTGTCAAGCTCAATGATGATCCCCGTCAAGGTCGTTCAAAAACTGCAGTCACCCAAGAAAACGTTGATGCTGTGCGTAAACTGATTGAGGAAGATCGACATGTGACTTACGCGAAATTCAGGCAACTTTAGACATTGGCATGAGTCATATACAAATAATCTTGCATGAAAAATTAGGTGTAAAAAGTTGTTTTACCGATGGATACCGCATTCGTTCTGTGAAGAGCAAAAAGCGGCTCGCGTTACTTGGTGCGTCAGAACTCTCGAAAGATACCATGCAGGATCCTCAAATGCTGTATACAACATCGTATCAGGTGACGAATCCTGGATATACACTTACGAACCCGAAACAAAAAACCAGTCACGAGTTTGGGGTGTTCGAAAATGAGTTAAAGCTAACAAAAATTGTTCGTTCACGGAGTGTTGCAAAAATAATGGTGACCACGTTTGTCTCCAAAACCGGCCATATATACGACTATTCCTCTTGAAAGATAAAGAACGGTTAATGCAGAATGGTATGCTAGCATTTGTTTGCCACATGTCGTTTCTGAACTCCGTAAAGAGAACTGCAACCGCCGCATCATCCTCCATCACAACAATGTGAGTTTGCACACCGCACACTGAACAAAAGAGTTTTTAGAGCAAGAAAACATAGAATTATTAGACCATCCGCTGTCCAACCCCGACCTAAGCCCTAATGATTTCTATACTTTCCCTAAAATAAAGAATAAATGGCGTGGACAGAGATTTTCATCACCTTAAGAAGCTGTGGACGCCTACAAAACGGCCATTTTGGAGACCCCAACTTCCGAGTGGAATGGTTGCTTCAGTGATTGGTTCCATCGTATGGAAAAATGTGTCGAATTTCGCGGAGAATACTTCGAAAAGCCATAAATACATTTTTAAATAGTAATGTTGTGTCACTTCCTTGATTCCCGAAATTTTCAGGTCCGCCCTCGTACTTATACTTCGCCTTTTTTATAAATTCGAAAATACTTTCGCTTGTAGCCTAGACTGAGGTTTTGTCCCATCAGAATCATTTCCCTTGTTTGATTCATTCAAGGTACCACTAAGATTTGAAATGTTCGCTTCCGTCATTACTGTATAACTTTTATGAAAATTGAAGTATATAACCATTAGCTTTTCAATTTTTTCTATCTTGAATGAATTTCTTCAAACGTTTAAAATCTATTTGTAAATTGAAAAAGATTGCTCTATGTCAACAGAGGTGAGGTTAGCAAAATTCCAATACGCACGCATTGAAATTTTGCAACTTCAGACATCCGACGTCGTTGATGTAAATTTGACATCGTCGCGCGTGCAGTGTTTTAAGTCTGCTCTCTAAATTAATCTCAGGATTTGGGTCATATCCACTTTATTCTTTCGCTGTATGAAATAAATGTAAGTACGTAAATAACTCTATGTAATTCCTACCTCCAATTATCACGAATTTTATGTTTCGAATATTCATTTTATAACTAATAAATATTTGAAATAAAAAATTTTGAAGTTAGATAACGTCTAAACTTTTAAAGGTAGAAGGTTTATTAAGCAAAAATAAGTCAATTCCGAAAATTTTAATTACGAATCAACAAATAGACGAATGCTCTTTCAGCCTAAAATACATATAAGTACTCGAATTTCAGAAGTGCAACTGTGTTCAATCGGTGATTGCATTTTCGATGTAAAATTGTCGTTAATTTTTATTGTGATAATTAATTAACACAAGCTTGCAAATATTGAAAATGGATTAATTTGTTTTAATCATTTTTATTAATAGTTATATTATTTGAGTTTTAAGTTTTAACTTGATCAATAGCTTCTTCTAGCCGGGCTTCATAACCTGGCTAAGATCTATTTTACCAACGTGGCAACTTCGGTACCGCGTGAGCGGTTATTATCAGAGGCTAGATCTACAACCACCCAGGAGAGTTACCGCTTCAAAATTAATAATTATTCGATAAAATTAAATGTGTAAAAATAAATAGTGTAAAACTTCCTAAAATAACATAAACATAATGTTTGATTATTACACTTCTCTGTTTTATTTCTGTATAATATATATATATATATATATATATATATATATATATATATATGTATATATATATATATATATATATATATATATATATATATATATATATGGTGATGAAAACATCGATATATCGTTCATAAACTTCGATATTTTAATGAACAATGTTACATCCTACAGATTTGCTTACTCGGAAAAATTACGACTCGAGTTAGCAGGACGAAACAGAGTAAATGATTTGTTACAAATTTTAAAAATTTGTTTTTCTATCTAACTCTTTGGTTGTTTGGGATAACTACCATTACTAAGCTTACTAGGCAGATAGGATTGAAATAAAAAGGTTTATTTCGTATGTATCATATACTTATGTATTTTTGGTTTTAATAATTTAGTAAGTATCTACATTTAACAATAAAACTAGCTATATAGCAGTCTTCACAAAACAACATTACTCTAGTTTTAAGATGTAGATACATAAGGTATTTAATAGTTTAAATATTCTAAATAACTTAGCTATCATAAAATTCTAAACTAACAAATTATTGTGGTAGTGGCTAATACTCTTTGAAATACAAAGCCTATGAAAACAAATACATGCACGTAAGACTAGAAATCTTAAAGTTATAAATAATCTTTGCCTAGCACTGACATACTGTCCTAAAACCCTATTTTGTTTTTCGATATAAGGAACTAAACTTAATAGCTCCTCGAACTCCTCTTCCCCCATTCTCAGGTATTCGGAATTCATTTGGCCCCAGAACTCCGATAATCCACATACTTGAGTGATTTTCCCTAATTTTGAAATATTCTTTCACCCATATCTTTCTTCTCCTCCTCTTTTATTAATGTTAATTGTCATATTTTTTTCCGTCGTCAAAACGTCCAGTAATAAGATTTA